TGGTCAAATTTTATAATTTTTTTGAATTCCGAGGAATGGATCAAAAAATTTGTGTTTTCGGGTTCAAAGAACTGTGAAGTTCAGATTTTCTCTAAATGTTCCACAGGTGTTTAAAGATGCCATTCAGATGGCTCTGTCCTACAAGAAGAACTCCAGTGACTTTATGGATGAAGTCATGAGGGAGCTAGAGGTGTGTGTGTGTGTGTGTTTGTTTGAATGTAAATGCTTACTCTTCATGATGCTGATTACTGATTGATTTTATTCATGTTATTTTGCAGAACTTTGATTTAGAGAGTAAAGAAGAATCATCTGATAAAGAAGAGGAGACACAAGAGGGAAAACCGGACTCGGCGTGACCATGTCAAATTCTTCATCCTCTTCTTTCCTCATTCTCTGTCTCCGCTGCTTCTGCAGTTGTACTGATGAGCTCTTCAGATCACGGCTGTCCTCTCACCGTCCTGAGCAGCAGAACTCTACCTCACACCACTCAAAGTGTGTGTCTGTTCTTGGAATAAATTATGCTTCTGTGAATGTACAGCTGGCATTATCAGAGGATTGACGTGGTAATGGAATACAATGCACTCTGAACTTTGATTTGATTCAAATTGTGCAGCATGCATATTTAGTAAAAAAAACAACTTTTAGCACTCTGGTATATCTGGTAAGCTTTGTGCCGAATGTAACATGAAATATTTTTAATTGTAATTTTATATATCTTTTGTTTTCAGATGGACGTTTTAGTGAAATATTTATGAGCCACTCATTTTTTTTGGTGTACTATTTTACAACATTTGCACATTTCAAGTAACATTTTGTGATGCTCACTGGTATAAATAAAGTACTTGATCTTTGTACAAGGGTAGTTGATTATACTGTACAAGCTGAAATTATACATAGTTTTAAGATACGCATGTTCTCTTATACATTTATAATACTATAAAATTTTATGTCCATCTCATTTGCCAACTAAACAGGTTTTTATATTAAAGCGATTTATTGCAAGCATATCTGAGAACAGGATCAAACTCTCCTCAGGAATGGATGAGAAGACAGCCGTGATGCAAACTCAGTGTAGCAGATGAATGTGTGTTTGTGTGGATGTGAAAACCAGAGCAAAGAAAGAGCAGCGACTGCTCTGGAGGATCACTGACCATTACAAACGGTCAGGTTACAGTTCCAGTTCCAGCTGTGAAACAGCTAATGTGTACGTTACCTGATAATGTGCAGCTTTCGATCTTTGACCCACTCACTGGACATCTCAGACTCAGAGTCAAATAGACATTCAGGCCAAGTGCAGCTGTTTGATGAGCTGTCCAGTGAAACCGGGGGAAGTTCAGGAGTGAATCTCATGAAATGTAAAGAGCATGTCTATCATGTTACAGCAAAATCAGAACACATCATCCCTTTAATTTTTTGGTTTAATTACTGATTGTAAATTATTTTAATTTGAAAGAATTTGTTCTCTAACGAATGTAATTTACGCTGATTTTAAGTCATCAGTTGTGTTTGGACAGATGTTTGTCATAAAAATGTATCATGCTAAAATGCTAAAAATAGACGTTTAATCAATTTCCTTTTGCAAAAATATATTTGAAGTAAAATATGACCGTGTTATTTCTTCCTGAGTTTCTCCTTTAGAGACCAGAAATAAGCATTACTGTAAAGAGCATTTATATCACAAACTGTGAAGTTTTAGTTTTTAGATTATTGCATTTGGTTTGTGTTTTGCACAAGTGCTTTATATATCAAACACACATCCCTGTTAGTGATTTGAAATAGAACCAGCTTTGTACTGCACACGAATGTGTGTGTGTAAGTGAACTGGATACAATGTCATTAGTTCTTATTTCTGAAGCCTCTGGTGTTTTTATGTACTGTCATTTTCTTGTTCTGTGAGCAGAATGTGGTTCATATTAAAGAATTATAAAGAAGCAAGATCTTCCATATGACATCTTTCAGCAATAATCAGCACTTTCCACGAATTGACAAATGAATCTAGCTTTTAACAGAAAATGATCAATGCATGAAAAGTTGCTATGTTTAATATCAAACATCAACCATTCCAACACTCTTCTCAAACGTACTGTAAAATGAGTGTATTGTAAAAGTATCTTGTTGCAGGAAAAACAATATTTACATACAATACAAAAATTGTAAGATACTTTTCTTTATGTGAAAAGTCACTTAAAAATAAGCATTCAAGCCGAAACTAGAGAGACTAGAAATCTGCAATCCCATACTGGCGATTTTATTTTTTAATACTATACATTTTATGATTTTTTAATATTTAAAATTCATCAAACCTATAAAACTAAATGCGATATGAACAGTTTTATTTGACATTTATTTGAGGTGGACAAACATTTTCTGAAGGTTAAGCATTCTTTATTCACTCAGTTACAACATGAAGACCTTTTCAGAGTTTCAACCCTTGTTTTGCACCTCTTTGTGGAACGTGCTTCTCTCTCTCTCTTTGTTAAGTAGTACCTGAGTGAAATAAATCTCCGTCACAACCTCAACTGAGCAATCAACCCACCACAAAACAATGCTCATTAAAGCAGTATATACTGCATTTCTTGCCATGTTTATTGTGCTTTTGTTGGTCAGAAAACAAGATGGACAACCCTATAGAACATACTGCAGTCATGTAAATGATGTGTTTTATTTCATGTTTCGTCCTGCCATTGGTTGAGTAAAATTACAAAGAAATCAACTGCAATTTTCATTCTGGTTAAATATGCAGAACCCCTGATGTCTGCGCTACACTGGGAGAGAGTAAAGGGCAAAAGTCAGGGAGAGTGTCCACCGAATGTGCAAGTCAGTCACTAATAGACTTACTGGAATTCAAGCCAAACAGAACAGATTCTTAAATCCAGACATGAATGTGCCCATGAAACTCAATAAATTGGGCCACGTATGGAAATCATTGAAAAACATAAAAATTTATATAAACTCATATATTTAACAGGAGATGCATGTAGTCTAAACATTTCCAAGAGGTGGCACCATAGTGCTGGTTCAAACAGCGTTTAGTTCCAAAAAACCTCAAAGAAAAGCTAAAACCCAGAATCACTTTTTGGCACATTTGTTCATTTTTCTTCATGCCCTTTCATCTCCTGCTAGAACAACTATAATGTAATGTACATGACATAACATCAATATTATGAAAGATGAAAGTGATGTGTACAGAATGAAAATCACAGCTCGCGAGTTATCAGAAGATGAGAGGAGGAAAACTGTGGTACATATGGCTCAGAAATGCAGTTCCAAGTCTCCAGAGTGGGACGACATTCACAAAAACATATGCACCCTTGCTTTTGTTCTTCTGGATGAGCTGAAGGTAGAAACATGATTTTCAGTGGGATGAGAAATTAAAAAGTCTAAATCAAAAATTGAGCGTTTCTGTAAGATTTCAGTAAAAAACAAAGTGGATTAAACAAGTCGAACATGGAATGAAGGAAGGAATCTGTGTGTGGTAGGCTCAGGGCTCATCTGCATCCGAGGATATAGTAAGTAATTCACAGTTATCTTGGGGCCCGACTCCAAACGGCCCCTCAACACCTTCATTCAAGCCCTTGTAAAGTCAGACAGACTGACGGTTTAACGCAAGGATCAGGATCTCTGTTAATGAGCTAAATAGTAACTAGTCTTCATCTAGGATGGGAGAATAAACTTTAATCGGAGTAACCACCATATTTACAGAACAGAAATGAGGTTCTAAAAGTACAGGCTGCTCAATCTTGTACTGTCTTAAGGTCATAGGTCACATCTGATTTTCAAAAGCTTTATTTTATGCTGCAAATTTGTATATTTTAAATGTCGATCAGAGGAAAAGAAATATAAAGATAGTGACTCTATCAACACCATATCAGTTATCAGATTTTTGAATAGATTAGTATCAATCAATATTAATAGTCAAAAACTTAAAAAAATTTAATTCTTTTGAAGTCTTTTATGGTCACTAAAGCCGCATTTTTAGTATCAAAACACAGTAAAAACTTAATACATTTTATTATAATTTAAAATAACATTTTCCTATTTGAATATATTTAAAAATGTAATTGTTTTTGTAAAATTATAAATGTATTCAATGTCACTTTTGATCAAATGCATTTATGCTAAATACAATATTTTCTTTCCAAAAAAATGAATACATAAAAATAAAAAATTACTTTCAAAATTTTGAATGCTAGTGTGTGTCTGTATATATATATATATATATATATAATTATCACAAAATTAAAAAATCTTTAGAAAATGCCAAAATTAATATCCATTTATTATTCTGTACATAGTGTTGTAATGCCTAAAATCGCAATTGGTTTTGTATCCCTAGTAAATTCCGGTTTAAAATGCCACTCCCATATTTAACAGTGTGTAAAGAACAGCATTAAGAAGAGGAGTGACATCTGTTTTACCTGTAGTGTGAACAGGCTGTACTTCAATCCCTCACAGCTTCTTTTCGTTCATGTCAAGATAAATATGGCATCTACTCCGACTCAACGCTGCTCCAACAGAAGGGTTTTTTTCCTACACAGTGTTGCTGGCATGCTCATCTGATGATGCATTGAGAAGCTCTCGTCATCCTTGGCTGTTTGCGTGCGGCCTGATTTCAGATGCAAGAGAAGAGATGACCAATGGTGAAGCATTAACTCTTTCTGCTGTCACAGTCTGACACACACACACACACACACATGTTGTGTATTAAAAACAGGACTGAATAGGATTGACGGTGCACAGAAGAGAAATGAGCGTATGTGTGTCTGTGTTTGCATGTCCCAGGTTTCGTTTAAATATGCAAACAGGTCATATATGCTTCAGTTGAGCCCTAATAGAGGGTTGAATGGGACAGGTGGGAATGAATGGCTTGAAATGCTAGCACCTTGTTTTGTGCAAATCACCCCCGAACTCCATACAAAGAGTAAAATCTTCACCTTTTTTGACAGGTGGTTAACTATGCATATATGCCAAACATTCATATATAGATCTATATATTTTTAGATTTTTAAAAATTTATATGAAAACTATCATATATACATTGCTTGTGATTGATATAAAAAGCAAATATTTTAGTCATTTGTCCATATGTACACAGCTGCAGGATCTCTGGGCTTCTTTTTCATTGATTGTTTTTTCATTTAATCTTTTGTCCTCAGCTTTTTCTTTGAACTACTTGTCATTCTAAAATTAATTCTAAAGGAAGTCATAAAAATTCTTCTAAGCATCATATTTCACAAGCTACAAAATCCACCTATGAGGAGACAAAAAAAATCAAATAAAGAAATAAAAAAGGCCAAAACAAATAAGCCAAATGCTTCAGTGCTTACAGCAGGTTAACATATAAGCCATACGGTGGAAACTTTTACAATTATAGATTCTGTCTTCTGGTTTCTTAATGAGATGTTGAACACCAGTCGTTACCATCCAGATGAGCTGCAATATTCCAGATGTTTCTCGTCCCACAGTGGTTCTGTCATGCACAACTCACACACATTTGTTCACACACTTGTTTACATGCACACTTATTGCAGAGTTTCTTATTCAGAATTTCTTATTACCAGATCAAGAAGACTTGTTTAGATCAAATTTGGATAAGAAACTGGTGTGGCTGTGTGCATGAAAGCGTGTAACTGTATTGGGAACACTTTTTTTGTTTTATATGTAAAAAAAAACAGACAAAAGCGGTGTGTGAAGGGCTCAAACATGAACACACCGTTACAGCCCACTGTGGGATGTTCAATTAAAGATGGAAGACCAGGTTCTGTAAAACTTTAACAAACAAAAGCAAAAAAGGGGGTGTTACAATGCAAATCAAACAAACCAGTCAACCGTCATTTCGTATGGTGATGTAACGTTTCATGCTACAGTCCATCATAAAAGGATAACCAAAAATCTTATTCAAGAGTGTTTTTTTGTCTTTATATATATATATATATATAATATCATATATACGTTTTATATTTATGACAAAAATTTTATATTCATATATCTATATACTTTTTTTCTGCATGAAAGCGTGTAACTGTATTGGGAACACTTTTTTTGTTTTATATGTAAAAAAAACAGACAAAAGCGGTGTGTGTGAAGGGCTCAAACATGAACACACCGTTACAGTCCACTGTGGGATGTTCAATTAAAGATGGAAGACCAGGTTCTGTAAAACTTTAACAAACAAAAGCAAAAAAGGGGGTGTTACAATGCAAATCAAACAAACCAGTCAACCGTCATTTCGTATGGTGATGTAACGTTTCATGCTACAGTCCATCATAAAAGGATAACCAAAAATCTTATTCAAGAGTGTTTTTTTGTCTTTATATATATATATATATATAATATCATATATACGTTTTATATTTATGACAAAAATTTTATATTCATATATCTATATACTTTTTTTCTGTCAAATATATATGTATATAATTGGTAAAAATGGGTAAATTATTGGTGGAATAAATCATCTAGGGAGAGAGACAGGTGCAGTTTTGCACGGTCCGTCCTGTTGTTTGCTGTCTCTCTCCATTTTCAAAGCTATTTAAATACATTGAGATATTCTATCTAATGTCATAGTTCCTTTGGTAACCCAAAGGTAAGAGTCTGATTATGAAAAAGCCACTAGTGTTGGTTAAACATTCTCCGAGTGTAGTACGTCCCTCAGCCAGAAGGGGGCAGGCGGTAAACAGAGAGGATCTGGCCACGCCCACTCTGCTCATCCACTCCTAAAAAAATACTCTGAAAGGCAACTGAACTTCCTTTTCTCAACAGCATCCCTCCTTTTTCTGAAATGAATGACAGCGGATAGTAAAGTAGAAAAACTGGATTTGGGACTAAGGGATTAGTGGGTGTTTATCATGCTAATGAAACTGAAGAATCAATTACGGGATATTTTGAATAGGGTTTGTTCAGACAGACAGCAAAAAAAACAGTTTTTGTTGTATTTTTGTAGTTTGGACACCAAAAAAAAAAAACACAGTTTAAAACCACATTTGTACTATAGGTGGTTTGAAATCAGATTAAAATGCAGTGTGAACCATCAAATTGGATTTCAAGTAGTTTTTACTAATTACGGATGAGATTTACTTTGCAAATACACAAATTTTCTCTCACTTTTTCCCCATATAGCAAACTATTCAATTAATAGTAAATGAGATGAATCAATGAGCGGTTTCAGTATTTGCATAAATGCATTAAATGCATACTTTAATGCATCATGAGTTCAGCACCATGACACAATTGTGGATAAAAAAAAAAAATCAGATTTTTTATGTGCAGTGTGAACAAAGCCAATTCGATCACTAAATTCACAGCCCCTCATAAACACACAGCACCCCTGTGATTGGGTGCTGGCAGTATTGTGGGAGGGGCTTAGGATAGTGCTCCAAAAACAGTATGGAGTCAACACCCACTTCACTAATGATGGATTTAGGAAATAGTGAGATTATTTAAAACTGAAGTGTGTAATTTCTGCTGCAATTGTGAAAATGTTTGTTTAAATTGTTTCCAATCTGCCATTGGTTGGACAAACATTGCCAATGTTGGTGTGTCAGATTGGTTGGGATGGTCAAATGAACAGAGCAATGTTTTCAGGGGAATATTAAACTGCACTCCTATAAAAAAGGTACAAAAGCTGCCACTGGGGCAGTAGCCTTTCAAAAGGTAAACCTTTGTACCATATTTATAAGGTTGCAAAGGGGCATACAAGTTCCGTAAAATTTCCAAAAATTCCTAGAAAATTTCCAAAATTCCTAGAAAGTTTCCAAAATTTCTGTAATGATTCCAAAATGTACTGCTTTTTTGCAAACCCACTGATTTACCCCTAAAGGGTGCATAATAGTATCTTAAAGCAGGGTGCCCAATCTTGCTCCTGGAGAGCCACTTGTCAACAGAGTTTAGCTCTAGTTCTAGTTAAACACATCTGAAACAGCTAATCACGGTCTACAGAATCACTAGAAACTTCCAGGCAAGTCTGTTGAAACTGGTGGAAGCTAAACTCCAGGAAAGTGGCCCTTCAGGAGCAAAATTAGATACCCCTGCCTTACAAATTAGTACCAAAAGTGTACATATTAGTACCTAAATGGTACATATTAATAATATCTTTTAATACCACCCCAGTGATTCGTTTTTTTTATGAAAGTGTGGGATAGGATAAGTATTTTAACATAGAAATTACACACTTTGGAAAATGACAAGGCAAGCAAATTAAAGAAGAAAAGAAAAGAAAATTGTGTTGAGACTAGCTACAGGTAGAGGGAGGCGCGTGGTCAACTCTCCAGCAGCTGTTTAAGGGCACGCTCAATGTTCATGCGGTGACCGACGCGCGTCACACCAAGCTCAGCGAAGTCCTCCTTGGTCAGAGCAGGCAGATGGGAGCCCTCAATCTCATGCTCTTGGAATCGCTCCCGGTGTTCAGACAGATTAATGCTGGCCAGCCAGTCGCCAACGTCGTACTTGTTCCAGAGGTGGAGGGGTTTCTGGTGGAACGGCCGTAGGGTGAGCAGGGGGGAGGGCATGCCCGGGGAGGGGGCGGGCGAGGGAGAACGACTCCGCGCACTGGAGCTCCTCATGACAAAACGCACTTCTTTAGGTTCGTGAGGGAGACTGAGGCTAGATGACTTAAGGATGGTGGGGGGTGTGATGGGAGAAGTGGCCAGGCCGAAGCCCCGGATGGGTCCCAGAGGATCCGAGCGGTCCGGGGAACCGGGACTGGGTGTCCGTCGGGTCACTGGGTAGCGGCTGCCTGGTCTGATGGTGTAGGTGGTGCCGTAGCCTCTCTGAGAGATAGTATGGAGCTCCCCCAAACTGCTGAAGAGTCTGAAAGTAGGGAACAGAAGAAAAGAAAGGAGACAGAGGATGAAAGTCAACTTTCTTTTTTTTGTGAGAAACAGCAGATTCAGTGGCTCCTTCTCGCCCAGTTTTAGTGAAAGCATCAGCTATGTTAGGACTCTGCACTCTTTGAGGCAAACTCATTAATCTAGTGTTAGTGAGATGCTTAATTAATGCGCTTAGCCGTAATAGTAGAAGTGCAAAAGTGTTACAGACCTGTGGAGCAAAGATAGAGAATACATCATAAAATTTCCCCCCAGAGTTTTTAATTGATATAGTTCAGTCATACAACTAAAATTTAAAGTGTTTTCCTTGGTCAACATGACATCATAATTTACCCTATTTACAATATAAAAATGTTAAAATTTTCTAGTGAAAATATAAAAAAATTCCTAAACTTATTGTGAAGCAAACCACATATAATATTAAAACTTGTTTTCATTCATTGTGTCTTGAATATAAATGTATTTTCTCTTACTGCACTGCCAGATTTATTTTTTAGTATTAACAAGGTAAAATTGAGTAAAAAATACTGGTAACAATTTACAATAACATTTCATTTGTGAACATTAGTTAACTACATTTGTTAACACAAACATCTAAACTTCTAAATAATTTTTTAATTTGAGGTTTTTATGTTAATTTCAGCGTTTACTAATACATGATTAAAATTTAAAATTAATATTAAATTAAATATTATTTAATGGACCTAAGCCTAAATTGAACTAACAATGAACAGTTGCAACAAATGTATTGCTCATTGTTAGTTAATGCATTAACCAATGTTAACTAATGGGACCTTATTGTAAAGTGTTACTAAAATATCCAGTGGCTGGGTTTGTCCCATTTAACCCAGCATTTTTTAGAGTGTGAGGAGAATTAAGCAGCCAATGAAAAACAAGGAAAAGCTGGGGTTGAGAGAGGCCTGACCAAATTAGCATTAGGCGTGTCAGTAGATGAGGAAGGGTGGATGATGATCAGGGCTTGAAAAAAAAGAGACATGAGATGATTCATGCGCACTTACACAGGTGCCTGGCTCTTCTGGGCTTAGCCTCAGATTCAGCTCTAGACAGAGCAGCGTAGCATGCAAAGAGAGAGAGAGTGAGAGAAAGAGGGAGAGAGGGAGATGGAGAAAAAGAGAGAGAGAGAGAGTGAGGGGCAATGGGAGAGAGAGAGCGGTTGGTTAGCATCAGTCCATGACAGAACAAAAACAAACACCACACACTTCACATCCTCAACAATGTCAATTGAATGCAAACCAAACGTAGCGACACAGACCAGAGCGCAGCTAGCCCCAGACGTCAGCTTTCAATAGTGGAACGTGCACATATAGACATCATTTATTAATGATGATGTGAAATTAAATACAGCATTTCTTTCATTACATCCTCTGTCTGGGGTAAGGTGCCATTCTGGTCAAATGAAACAAAAATTTAGCAAAATGAACAAATATGCATGAAAAATAAACAATGCATAATACTATATGTGCAACCATTTTTCTAAGATGAAGCCGGAGTGATCACTGTGTTAGCATGATTAAAGGATGAAAGTGTCACAGAACTACAGAAATGAAACACTTAGTGAGCACAGTAAGCTTGGACAGCATGTTTGAATGGAGAGAAATAAAAAGAACGACAACACAGACTGAGAGGAATGAAATATTATTATTATGATGACACTGTGATGATTATGTTGGTTTTATGTTGGATTATCCAATGAGAAATGACAACTTTCAGCTGGTATAATTAATTTAAATAGAATTCAGTTTTAAAAGAACTTTATTGAGGGTTAAACAAACGATTTTAAGAAGTAATGTAGCTTAACATGGGTCAAACACATTCATATCATATGATGTTGCAAGAAAAAAAAAACATCAGTCACACATGGACCCACATACATACTGTTAGCGTAGTGCCGTAGAGAAGCAGGCCACAGGGGAAAAGCTCACGGAGTTAGATGTAACAGAGTTTGGAAGGTGAAAGGTCAAAGCTTGAGATGGTGCATGCCCTCAGGCCATCTGTTACCTTGTGAACACCCCAATGGCAAAACAGAGGGACTTAAAGAAGTGCTTCATGGATAAAATTAAATTTATGTCATAATGTAGTCACCCTACTGCATGTCATCAAGAATGTTTTTTCAAGTCACTTCATGTAAACTGAAAAAGGTGTCATAACCGATGACCAAAACTGATGCACAGAGAATACTTGACAATACTGTCGAGGGACAGACATTTTGGTTGATTTGCCAGGGTGGACAAGGGAACACAGAACCTGCAGAAGTGATTAATAAAACCCAGATCAATGTCAGCAAAAGTGACTGAATATGGGATTAGTGGATGTTAAAGAATAGAAAATAAAATGAATGACATTTGATTTACCCTAGTTGCTAAAGCTAAGGTTTACTGTCTTCCATGTCCTTGTCACATCTGTTGGGATATAAAGGACTTCAGTTGTATTTGAGGATATAAGCAAAATAGTATATACTGTAGCTGGTGCTTTAAAAAATCAAGACAGAAAAACATTGCCTCTTGAGCTTTTATATAAAACATTATTTATTCCAATTAATTATTTTAACTCAAACTGTCCCTGTAGTTCTGGTTATTGGTGCATCTACAGAAAAGTCTATATCATTCTAACTATTGTCTACGGCTTATATGGTAGAGCTGTAAGATCAGCCTGAGGCCGTTCTACGTTACTTACCAGTGGTAGTCCAATGCTGAGATAGTTCTGGGGCTCCAAACGTCTCAATGAAGAAAGCATGTTAAACATTAACACTTAATGCTTCTAAATGAGTAAGAAATTTTAAGGTTCTGGATTAGCTTTCTTTTAAATAAAAGTTAAAGAATACTGCTCTTTAAATCTTTTGAAACTCTGGACAGACACAGGTGATGCTTTTTGGTATTCTTTGAGATGCCATTTTCATGAGGATGTTTAATATATTGTTTATGTAAATGTTATTTGATATTACTAAACACAAACCATCGGTTTCGATTAAACAATGTTATTCAGATACGGGAAAAGAATTGCAGTGTTCTCACTGCCATTTAACTAATAGGAAACTTTTGCAGTACAAACTACCAACCTCTGAATTCTCTTTACAATGTTGCTTTAGAAACGGTCAAAGTTTTGATTTGGTTGCAAAGTTTATTTGCATTTGGTCTTCTCCAGGATTCACGCCTTACCTTGCACCGACCACGGGTGATTTCCTTCCGGGGTCAAGTGAAGCTCCAAGCGGCTCTTCCCCAAGTGAGCGTGTGTCCTTGTTCAGCTGCTGCAGCCGTGAGCTGAGCTCACTGATCACAGTGGGCTTGCCTTTCTCTGCCCCCGAAAGTGGACAGGGTTCCACGGGGTCCCCCCATAACTTGGAGCGTCTCTGGAAGAGGTAGCGGGGTCTGGCCGGGCCTGAGGCTCCCGCAGCAGCAGCCAGCGCAGCCGCGTGCTGCTGTGAGAGCAGTTCGCTATCAGATGACTGCTTAAGCAGGGGGTCCCTGAATGTCACCGGGCCCTTGCTGAGCTGGGACTTGAGCTTTGGCTTTGGAGGCACTGGCGGCTTATCAAGAATGAACGTCTGGCCATCTGCGTGAGTGGTGTAGGTGTCCGTGGGCTCGCCGCTTTCCGAGGACAGTGTGGACATACTGGAGACAGTGGAGATGGTGCTCGTGGTCTCTAGGTGGTGATCACTGGAGCTACGAGTGTCTACCTCTTCCACCCCGGAGTCAGCAGCAGACTCTGGGCCCAGGTGGGACTCAGATGGCTTCCCTGAGGCTGCTTGCGGGCCACTGCTAGCGGGGACCTGTGCTGCTGAGGCAACTGCTGCTGGAGTGGTGGGGGGAGGGGGTGGAGCTGAGGGCAGGGCAGAAGTGGTTGTCTGCGCCAACGTAGGAGCACGAGGTACTGCAGTTTCAGGTGTCTTTCCAAGGAGGCCATTGGCAAATTCATTCGGTGGAGGAACCACACCGATTTTACGGAGCTCCTCACGTGTCTCCTCATCACTGGAAGACAGCATGGCAGGTGGCAATGTGACCGTATAGGGTTCCACGTCCTCCTCAGAACTACCCTGTGCCAGGGTTTTATCTGAGGATGGACTGGGAGGTGGCTGGGAAGTTGGAGCTGTGGCTGGAGGTGGGGTGGATCTCAAAGGAGCATCGGGACCAGGGGACTTGGCACGTTTTATTTCGGCCAACATGGGTTTCGGGCTCTCTGACAATGCCCTTTTAGGAGAGGGAACACTGTGCTCTGGGCTGGGCCTCACTGCCTCCCCATTACTCGTTGCATGAACCATGATAAGTCCAGCAGTTTTCTGCTGGGATGTGTCCATGATGCTGATGATCATACTCTTCTTGTCCTCAATTTTCCTTTCCTCCTTCATTTCTGTCCTTGTTTCTAACTCTTTCCTAGTGGATATGGGACTTCCCCACTGAATCCTGCTGGTGGGGGCAGAGGTCTCGTAAATTCTTTTCGTTGCAGGGGAAAAGGGAGGTGAGGCAAACTCACCCTCTGACCGATCAGCCTCTTTGGTCTGGGTCTCCATGTATAGCACCCCTCCAGCAGCTTCATGTTTAGTTCTGGGCTCAGGGCTGCTTGAAGGGGACTGACTCTGGGAGGTTAATGCCCGTTCCCTTGCGGCCAGCGCAAGTGCCAATGGAGAGTTGGGGTCCAAGGGCTTGCCCGTCAGTGGGTGAATGAAGGTGGTGCCCCCAGGAGAGGGACGCAACGCCAAGGCAGGAGGAGGCAACTGACCAAGTTCACGTGTGAGCATTCGTTCATCAACCGAATGGGATGGTGTGAGCGAGGGGGCCTCTGGGGGTGATGCCGAACTGCCCTCCATAGTGCCCACTGATAGGAAGACTGTGGATTTCCGCCTCTCCTCCAGACGACGTTCCCGGTCTTTCACAGCATCAGCAATGGCAGCAGCGAAAGGTCCCTTTCCTTGCAACAGTCCCTCAGCCTGAGCTTGACTGCGTGCCTGCAACAGCTGCTGCTGCTGCTGATAGAAATCAGCCCTGCTTGTATGGTGGGCAGCTAGGCGCCCAGAGGGAGAGTGCTCTCTCGCATGGATGGATGCCAGTGCTAGCGAGGCTCTCTCCTGAGCATCTTCCACCTGCAGTTGCTTTATAAGTGGGCTCTTCCTCCGCTGTGGCTTGCTCGGTGTGAACAGGCCCACGCTGAACTGGCCGACATTGGCATAGGGGTTATCAATGACTCGACCTTTCCGCTTGATCCTTTCAGGTGGAGTTGAAACAGCACCTGGCCTGGGGATGTCAGTAGGCTCCACGGGAAGGTGGGAGGAGTCCTGTAGGATGATCATGGAGCGGGCTTTTTTCTGCCGATCCATGTGGGAGGCATGGCGAGGTGGCTCAAACAGCTCAGCAGACATTGTCTGTGGCAAAACGTGCAGTCTTGGTTCAGAGCCTGGTTTGAAACTGGAACGGCTGGGGTCGTGAATGCGGCCAGGGGGAGGGGGTGGGCAGAACGAAGGAGGGGGTCCAGTATCTAGATAGTAAAGCGATGGGGGAGGTGGGGGAGCTGTTTGAGGAGGTGGAGGGATACTATGGCTGTCTCTCAGGCTGTCCGTCATGGAGGAGCTCCGCGGAAACCTGTGTTCCGCTGCCAGGGCAGACAGTCGATCCTCTTCAGTTGCTCCTGCACGGAGAGAAAGACAGATCTATAAAAATGTATTTTGGGTTTGGCTGAGCTTTGATGATGAACAAGTATGCAATATTTTACAGATTTGATCTTTGCTCTTTCCTTTAACAACTCCTCTTATTCTTGGCATTACAAATGTTACTGTGTGTCAAAGTTCTGCATTTCATTACATTCAGATTTGAGGATCAAAGGACAGATAGATAAAAGAAACTAGAACAAAGCCAAGCACTTTACTGCTATTTAAAATTGAGGAGCTTAATTGAGGAGTGTATGTAAAAGATTGCTGAAGAATTACCAAAAGACTTTGTTCTAGCCATGCTTTTCGGCAGCTGCATGTGGGCTTTTTCCAACGCTGGGTGTAGAGCACCATGAAGAGCAAGTCCTTGCCGCTCAAAAAGAGACTGCACAAAGAAAACATTTATGTTTATAAGGGTCAAGCACAAATATTTTGGCACATTTTCAACAAAATGTTTCTACTGGCTACTGTTTTTGTGAGAAGCTTTATCCCTGCTGAAAGGACCAGCATAGAGTATGCTGTGTATTGGATGCTGGTATACAGCAGAACTCTGCTGGTACATTAGACCACCATTAAACCTGCATAGAGCCAGTTTTTCAGTTTGATAAATGTAAAACAAAGAAACGTTTTGACTTTTGAACTCTCACTGTGTACATACAAGGTATCTGGGTCAATGCTGCTAAAATAGGACACGTTCTGATCATCTGAGTGTGCAGACATACTGTATCTTACACTGATTTCTGCTGGTGTAATTCGGCGACTGGTAGGACGTTGCTTCACCGTGGCTGCTCTGTAGTCTGCTTCTACCTTTGGCCTCAGTACTGTCTCCTGAGAGGCCAAAATCTCATCTAGCCTTTCTGTTAAGAAACACATATAAAACCATGTTCATTATACACACCCACACAAATAGTGCTCATCAGTTTGCCATATGGATCTCATTTGTTCACATGCTTTGAAATAAAAAAAGACAAAGTACACATGAAATGGAAATATTAATGACATTAACACAATGCCACAATGCATCATTGCTCCTTATTTTATGGCAAAAGTTGTATGTGACAAGCTCGGTTCCAACCCATAGACCTTCCTGGCTGTATACTGTCTACTTGAGCAGTGCCATAGACAGGATACATTAGTACATTAGTGCATGTTCGCAAAGAAAAACAATAAAAAAACATCACAGATGGAGGCAAGAATGCATCCTGTGTAAACAGTCCCTAAGGCAGCATCCTAACGGAAATAGAACCCCGTAAGTGACTCATTTGGAACAAATAGAATTCCTTGTGTGAAGCACATGAGAAATGGAACTTAGATTTCCAATTTGGCGTTAGCACATGTTGCTACGTTAAGACTGTTAAATTCAAATATGCATAAAAAATACATTGCACAGAAATACTGGATGAAATAGTCATTAATCAATTACATTTTTGCACATATTTGTTTTATTTGAATAATTTAATCAATATATGTTAAATTTAGAATAGCAATTTTAATATTTGAGTTTTTTCAAAACATTATGGGACATCCAAAACAAGATATTTTAAGGGAGAACATAATTTTACTGCCTTTGTGTTGGGAATGCCTAGAAATACTGGTTAGGTAGGCAGCTCACTAGGCTTTGGAACCGAGCTAAATAAATCATATTCCAACATGAGTAAGGTGAAGATGGTTGCATACACATGTTGCGCACTTCAGTGATTTTGTTGGATTCTAAAAACCTCAATGTGTAACTCACCTCCTCTTCTCCTCCTTGCAGAGGCTGAGCATGAAATAAATGTACAGAACACTTCTCCATTAAAGTCTCACAGCAGCAAATATCTGTCGATATGTGTTTCAGTGTGTGAACGTGAGTGTGAATATGTGTAATGAATTCAGTAAACGCAGAGCACAGATTGAGTGAGAGAGGAAAAGACAGCTGATGTTTTGAACAGCCCAAATGGCTGCAGGACGGAGATGTCATAGTTAATAAATAAACAAGAAAGAGCAACACAGAGAGAAAATGTTGCATCCAAGTGTGTGTGCATGTGTCAGGGGAATAGGATGTGTAAAACTATCTATTTTCCTAATTGACTATTTCATAATCTGAATGATTATCTGACTATTTGAAGGAAACCCTGTTGCCCAAAAATGTCCATCTACATGTGCACATAAGCTTAAAAAAGTGCACACTGAATCCAAGAACATGCAGCCCTTCAATAGGGTAAATTACAGTATTTGTTTCTTCATTGGAAATTTAGCATTACATCACTTGCTCATCAATGGATACTCTGCAGTGAATGGGTGCCGTCAGAATGAGAGTCCAAACAGCTGATAAAAACACCACAATAATCCACACCACTCCAGTCCATCAATTAACATCTTGTGAAGTGAAAAGTTGCAAGTTTGTAAGAATCAAATTCATTAAGTCATTTTAACTTTAAACTGTTGCTTGCAGTCAGAATACATGTCCATAATCCATAATAACACTTCCTCTAGTGAAAAAATTCCCTGTTGTCCTTTTACATCAAAACCACCAACATTTGTTCAGAACTGTTTAGAACTGTTTTCGCTTGTAAACGAGGCTTGGTCTGTGGATATTTCTTTGTTGAGTCAGAAGAGATGTCTTTTTCCCCTGGAGAAAGTAGTATTATGGATATAGGACTCGTATTTTAACCGGAAACAACAGTCTTAATGATGGATCTGTTTTTTTTACAAACACACAGCTTTTCCCTTCACAAGGCATTAATTGATGGACGTGGATTACTTTTTGGATTATTGTGATGTTTTTATCAGTTGTTTGGACTCTCATTCTGACGGCACCCATTCACTGCAGAGGATCCACTGTTGAACAACATTTCTCCAAATCTGTTCTGTTGAAGAAACAAACTCATCTACACCACGAACGGCCTGAGGGTGAGTACATTTCAGCAAATTTTCATTTTTGGATGAACTATAAATGGAAAACAATTTAGAAAAACTATTCAACCTCACAACATAGTGCATGTGTTTGTTTGTGGGCGTCTTACCTAGTTCTTCAAGCTCAGCGGTCATGCTTTTGGACCTCAGGGTGAGGGTGGTGTTGGGCGCTCTTTTTGGAGGTGGGGGCGCTGTGGAGGAAAGGCAAGGAGTAGATGAGAAAATAGGATGGCGTGGCGAGGGGCCTTCACGGCTGCTGCCCATCGGCAGTTGCCAGCGCTTTTTCACCATCTTCATCTGAAGATCACGGTACCACACAGCCACACCACGATTAAACTCTCTCCTTCCGTCTTTCTCTCTCTGACATGCAACATAGAATCATGCAACTATCAGACATCTCCTGTGTAATTGCACGACCAGAAACCAACTTCCGTCCTTGGTGGTCCTCCGATGGTAGAAAGAAATACTCGTCTCCCAAAACCCTTCATATCACATTCAGCCTCTTTCAACCCAAATGGTGGCCGAGTTTCCCTTTGTCTCTCAGAAACGAAACCTGCTGCTATGTCCAAAGCATGCTATGAACTCCCAAGCAGTGATACAAGAAGCAACAAGAAAACAATCAGAGTTCCAGGAAATCAGACACTTCTGTTGTCTCAGTAACATCGGCGTAAAACTCCTCACTCCTTCAGCAAACAACCTTGCAGACTGGAGTGGAGCTGGAGAGAGAGAGACGAGGAGAGAAATACCAAGGCACTAATGCAATACTTACTTCAAACATGCATTGTAGTAACCATGGCAACTCTGGCAGGAGCAAGGCCTGGGTTTGTGCATTTCAACTGTGAGAATCTGTGTGTGTGAGTTTGTATGTGTGTGTGGGAGGATATAGCCACAAAACTAACAACAGACACTCTATTATTACTTCATCAGTAGTGTGTAAGTGTGTGGTAGTTTGCATACCCCAGAGTTATGCAATAACCCTGCAATAACTTTGCAGGTGACCATGATTTTGTCAAGTAAGAACAATATTCTTATCGACAAACAGATTTTAGGGTAAGGATCTGTCTAAGGGGCATAAGCAACACATCACTTCCCTCTGATTGTAGGGATAGTTCATTTCTGTTGCATGCTGTAGAGCAGGGGTGTCAAACTCAATTCCTAGAGTTTTGCTCCAGCACACATACCATATAGTTTTCAAATAAGCCTGAAGGACTTGATTAGTTGGATCAGGTGTGTTTAATTAGGGTTGAATCTAAACTCTGCAGGGCTCCGGCCCTCCAGGAATTGAGTTTGACAACCCTGCTCTAGAGCATCCTGCTCCAACACCGAGGTCATGGGTTCGACTCCCAGTGAATGCAGGAACCAATCAAGTGTATAACTTCAATGCAATGTAATTACAAATGCATTAAATAGAAGTGTAGTTAATGCATTTTGCACTTAAGAGACTCGCTGTTGAACATATATGAACAACATTTAAGCAATATATTAAGCTGCGGATCTTATTTATAAGCAACAAACTTGATAAAAAAAATAAATAAATAAAAATAAATAAAGAGTGAAAAATTGAAGGGGGTCTGAAAAAGAAATCTGATTCAGGAGCATGTTAAATGTTTTCCTTAGTGAAAAATCCAGCAAAATAAATAAATAAATAAAATAAAATAAAATAAAAAAGATTTAAAAAAATTTGCTTTGGATGAAAGCATCTGCCAAATGCATTGATTAAATGTAAGTGTAGTTAATGCATTTTGCACTTGCAAGACTTATTTTTGAACATATATGAACTACATTAAAGCATATTGCTGTGGATTATTATTAATAATACTCCTTGGTGAAAAATCCACTAAATAAATAAATATTCCTTGGTGAGAAATCCAGCAACTCAATAAATAAAATAAAAAATAAATAAATACAATAACATAAAAATAAAATGAATAAATAAAAATGCAACAGAACATAAAGTAATTGAACTACACACATCCATTGAGTGAGATACTGAAAAGACAGCGAGAATGTCTGATGGATCTATTCAGACTTGCAAAAAATTGAATACAAGAACTTACATTTGATCGGTTTTATTTAAGTGCTTTACAGTTAGTCGACCATCCTGATTCAATCCATACTGTAAGACATATTGGATAAAAGTGTCTACTAAACGACCGTCTTACTATGCAGCTCCATCATCCACTAAAGGCAAACACAGGTCAATGAAGGGTTCAGATAGTGTGTGGGAGTTGCAGATAAAAGTGAGGATAGTTTACATGGATATTGAATAGACTTCTTCTTTGGTATTCGAGGTTTTGCTATAGTTCTAATAACTCTACCGGCAGACTCATACCCAGCTGCTAATCGATTGAGTGGGTGTAGGAACGCACAAATGTGTGTATGTGGAAAGGCTGCACAGAAAACACTTCAATCTGCTTAGTTATCACAATTCCTTGTGACAAACAACCCGGTCATTTAGTTAATGCTCCTGAAGTTTTCTCCTCTGACAAACACAGTCATCGCCATCACAATCGGCTATGATCATTACACTGACTCCTTTATTCATCCTTGCAGCATTTCTTTTCCTCATGTTTGAGACTAGATTCGTCCTGCTGAGAGAAATCTCTCACTGTCTGATCATCACATACAGTACAGAGCATCAAAGACTGGTTTCCTAGCAACCCATGCCTTTAAGAGCTCTTCTGTCTGACTGCAGTAGCCCCGCCCACAATAAACAAACAAAACCAGCAGTCAGCACATTCCATGTAACTCAACTACAACACCACATATGAACTACAATCAAGCAATACATTAAACTGCAGACCTTGTTTCTAAGTCACATACCCTGTAACACTTGCATTTTGATTGCTGGAAAATTAAAATTAAAATTAATTAAAAAATCCAGCAATTTAACTTTAAAATGAAATAAAAAAAATCAAAATCAAAATAAATCAGGAAAATGTAAAAAAAATAAAATAAATAATAATAATATGAATACTTGCATTTTCACTGCTGGAAAATTCAACAATTTAAAATAAAATAAAATAAAATAATTTATTTTTATAATTACATAAAATAAAATGAAAAATTAAATTTAAATAAACAAGGAAAATATCAAATAAAGAAAATATAATAATAATGATTTAATGTAAATAAAACAAAACAAAATAAAATACAGCACCTTTATTATCTAGGATAGAACAGTTCTGTTTGACGTGAACAAGCACCTTACCCTTCTTCCTGACTGACTCCTCAGACTCTGGCTTGCGTGTGACTGACACCACCTTCATCAAGAGGTTATTCCCGCCCTGCCGGATGAGTGACACCACCTGCTTGTGTCCCACTTTTACCACGTTTACACCATTCACCTGAGAGAAAAAAATCACAGAGAAATCATAAGTGTTTTTCATCCCTCTGGTACATTCCCAGCATCTCAGACTAGACTCAAGGTCATTACACAGCTGCAACAAATATTAGTGTATTTTTATATGTTGAAAATGTGAAACATGATGAATAGTGGATACAATCACAGAGAAATCATAAGTGTTTTTCATCCCTCTGGTACATTCCCAGCATCTCAGACTAGACTCAAGGTCATTACACAGCTGCAACAAATATTAGTGCATTTTTATATGTTGAAAATGTGAAACATGATGAATAGTGGATACAAAAAGATCTGGGATATCAGCGGACAAACCAATCCTTTACCTCAATGAGGAAGTCACCAGTCCTTAGCCCCGCCCTCCAGGCCACGCCCTCAACATCCACAGACTCCAGGTACTGCAGTGCAGGAAAGGCAGGTGTAGGTGTAAACTCTTCAATGGGTGTCTCCGCTACACAAACACAGAGAATCACATGCAATATCACATTACTGGTGCTTAGATTCTTTGAGAAGTCAGTGAATGGCTTACTTATACATAATTCTGCCGGGATAAGTAAAAGTAAAAAATTAGACTGTCCTTTGATAAGCCTTTCTGTTAATATAAACATATGTCTAAATAGATCTGTAAGTGTTTTGCTCTTAATCATTGAGGAAGTCATAGTATAGGAATTATGAAAGCAATAAAGAGACTGCTGACACACATATTAATAAGAGATATTAATGCACCATGTGGGTAACAGATGGCTTTAGGAACTCATAACTCCTACACAGGATGGTGCCACCCCAGAGACTGGGCACTAACACACACACACACACACACACACACACACACACACACACACACACACACACTACTTACAAACCCTGCTGATCCATATGTGTTGTCAAACACAACTGTCTAATAATGCTGTTGAGTCAACATATATGCTACAGAAATGTCACAATATGAACCAGTGACCGCGAATATTTGATTATGTAAGTAATGAAGTTCACCCATTCATGTAACTCTATTTGATGCTGTCACCGAACTGCATCTGTAAAGCACGCACACTGTTGCACTACTGATATGCAATGAGTTTGAACTATTCTGTGATTATTTCATGTAAATGAATGTAGATGTGTGATGGATGTTATTTCATAGTATTATTAATTTTAACTGTAGAGAAAAACTACATTTTGGTTCAATGGTTCTTACAAGGTTTAGGTTTTTACAGGGTTTCTTAAATTGGTTATTCAATGAAGATGAAAAAGTTCTTGATAGTTTATTATACTATACGTTCTTTAAATCACAACTAGAAGATCTTAAATCTAAAAATCTTTTCTGTTTCTCTAATCCTTTTGTGCCAGCTATTATTATTGTTGTTGTTGTTATTATTATTAAATAATGAATTTAATACTAATATTTTTATTATAATTTTGATGGCAATTATGATTAATTAATATGTTGATTAATATTAAATGATTTAGATTATTATTATTAATAAAAATAATAACAACTAGTTGTAACTATTGTTACTTATAATAATAATAATAATAATAACAACTAATTTCATACAGTGATACATTTTAAAAATAAAATCTTAACAACAACAACAATAATAATAATAATAACTTATAATTTGATTATTAATAAAAAATAACTATTATTAACTGTTGGTAATTAGACAACAACAACAACAATAATATACATTTTTATATTGAATAAATTAATTAAATAATAAACAATGCTTCTGGTCTTAATATGCACTTCCATCAAAATGAAATGACTTTCTTTTTCAGCTGATCTCTTTAAGGCCACATACAGTAGGCTATTGGATAATATTAACCCATAAACAAAACTATTTAAACTTGATAGTAGTAAAATTGCATTCAAGTCTGGCTGGTTTTCACAAGCAATCAATTCCCAAATACATTTTTTTCTTTAAGTGTGTAATGTTACCCAGTTTTGTGAAAGAAGCTGCAACTCTGACTGTAAGAGCAAAATGAGGCCATGAACTCAGTCATGTCTTACCTTTTGCTCCTCGCAAGACGAAGCCGAATCCCTCATTCTCTTTCTTCTGGAGCACAGCGTTCTTCTCCTCGATGATGTAATCACTGAGCATAAGAGAGAGCAGGACAGTGAGGTCAGACTCCAGCACCATGCCTGTATCAGGACCACCACGGCCGGACCACCTGGACGTACCCCCACACAGCTACTCTCCCTGATCCCTGTCCTGCTCCGCTGATGAGCCAATCAGGTTAAAAGCAGTGGCTGCATGTGAGAGTGTGGACGCTATGAAAAAGCTCAGGTGGAAGCTCCTGTCCTTCTGTTTGACTCCAGCGCAGCCTCTTTAACTGCATTAGGAGATTGGACCAAATGCTAATATCCAGCCTCTTATGCTTTTAAATGAAAGGATAGAAACATAAGGGCCTTCAAGTCTTTCCGTGTCCAACTCCGAATGCAGCAGAGAGACAAAAACATCCTTTAAAAGCCAGAAATGTAAGAAGACAATCTTAACCCTGCATTTATGCCTTAAAGTGCAGCCCATCAATGATAAAAAGATGGGATGAGCACTCACAAAAAAGAAAGTGAGACAGAGACACACAAAGGATCTTTTTCTATGGTGGTCTCTTCTCCCCAACACACACGGTCCATCTGTCTGGATGCATTGAGATGGTTATCATCAGCGCGAACAGCAGGGACAAATCTGTTCTTCCTTACTCATGTGAGCCACATTTACCCGCCTGTAGACACCATCAGCCCCCCGCCAACACACACACAGCCCCCAACAGCGCACTAGACATACAAATATCACATCACTAACCTCACTGCTATGATTGACTGTGCTGTTCTACATTTGCATGACATGTGGCAGATGCTTCTATCTAAAACAACTAATGGGCTTCTCATGCTTAAGGCAACACACTACAGGTGAAAAAATTGCAATTAAAAGATTTCAGTGTACTTTCCCCAGTTGATTAATCACAGTACATTAAGATAACTGTTTTGTATTACAAGTTGTCTGAAATGTTATGTTTGAATTTGCAAAAGAGGCATTATGCAATTTAATATGCACTAATTTGCATACATTTCCAGAACAGAAATCTGAATACTGAATATTTCATTCATTTTGTCGACATGTTAGAGTTAATGGTTTTTACACAGGGGATTTTGGATATCTCTTTTTATCACTCCAGAAATCTGAAAATATTTTCAGGCGAAAACAAATTTAACACATTTTAAGGATTATAATTTTAAATCAGGAGAATGATATATGAACAAACCCCTCCGTAAAAACCTTTAGAATATAGATAGGAATGAAATTGTAAAGTCAATGGTGTATGTAAGTGCTACTGAAGTGGGGATTTCTGGCTGAGTGCATGAGAAAGAAAAACTCATTTTATGTATTGTAAATGAAATCTACAGATGCAAACAGATAAAGTGTAATGTGTACTTTGAAAGTTTTCTTTCCACTAGTCTGAAAGAGGATAAGTTATGGAAGCAAAATAGCCTTCCATTTCAAAATTGACCAGTGTCTGAAAAGTAGTGTCTTGCATTAAAATGTTCTGTGTTAAAGTTGGTCTAAATCTATTTTCTAAATCCATGTCATTTATCTTATTGTGAATGATTCGTCCATGGATGCGTTTTAATTTTTAAAATCAAATGACATTACTGGATACTGGATCTTCCAATGACGGACTCTCTGGTGACTTATGCCGGATGTTGGAAACCAAAAACAATGGAGACCACTGACTTCACTGAATAGACCAAAAAAAAAGTTTTTCCATTCCAAGTGTGTTCCATTGAAAAAAGTCATACAGGTTTAAAACGACATAAGGGGGCAAGTAAATGATGACAGTATTTTCATTTTTTAATTGCCCATTTACAAAAATTATAGCATCTCATCTGATGCATCAGTTTTAACTCTCCTTCAGATGTTTAAACTAAACAACTTGTGGATGTTTCTACAACCATACCAAGTGCATGAATATTTAATGGAGTCATTATAAATGAGTCTATGATTGGCTATCTGTTGCTAGCTGTACAACTAGCTGTAATATTCAAGCACTGCACTGATTCACACTGCATGCCTTCACCGCCAGTAAAGGGTGTAAAAAGACATGAATCCAAAGTTAATCATAGTGTGAAAAGCAATTTACAGTGATTTCATGATATAGATCAGTTTGTGTGTTCCCTGGGAATCAAACCCATGACTTTGGCATTGCTGGTGCCATGCACTACAAGTCAAGCTACAGGAAAATATATTATTACTTATATTTTATTACTGAAAATCTATAGCTCTAAACACAGCACCTCATTTATAACAACTCCCATACCATCTAAAAATCTGTTTTACAAACAGAGCAGAATAAAGTCCTTGTAAACAGCTGCTTGTTTGCTGACTGCAGAATAATTACCACAAAATGACTAAAAGCTGTCTATGTGATCACATGAGACTAGAGCAACGACTGGTGCCTGTGTCATCAACTATAAGAAGAAAGCTCATCTCTCTCGCTCTCTCTCTCGTACCCCAAGGGTCTTCATCACTGATGCATTAGGAGTGACAAGAATCTAATTAAGCAGTGGAGAATCAATTAGATAAATTACAGATGATTCGGTGTCGTTAGCGCCTCGGGTTAACAAAATGCTCTGTCCTACAGAACAGCAGTCACGGCTGTGATAACATCAGTGTATGGTCGGGCGTCTGAAACTTTCATGTGCTGTGGTTTTGTTTACGAACAAAATCCCAGACAAGCCACATTAAACTGGGACAGTGGAATGTTTGGGTTGCATTTCCCATTATCTATTTAATAAATGTACAAGTAAACACTTAGAAAAAGTAACAATCAACAAATACTTAAGATGATATCACATTTCAAATATATGTATGTATGTGTGTATATACAGTGGGTATAGAAAAGAATCACCCCCCTTTAAAATAACCACATTTTGTTGCTTTGCAGCCTGAAGTGAAGACAGATACAGTTTTTGTTTTATCCAGCTGTATTTACTCAGTGCAACTTATAACATCCAAGTGAAAGATATAACACCAACATGTCAGAAAAAAAAAGTCAGAATCACTGAGTTGGAAAAAGGATCACCTTCTCAATGGCACAAAAAAGCCATTTGACTTTCAACTGTGATCAGCCGTGCACATTTTGATTAGCTCAGCATGAAAATAGCTTTCCTGGAGCATTTCAGTCCTTGGTAGTGCAACTGAAGCTAACAATCAACTTTGGATGGCGAGGCACTGTCAAAAGATCTCCGGGATAAAGTTGTGGAGATGGATACAAAGAAATTTCAAAGGCTTTAACAATGCCTAGAAGCACAGTGAAGTCTATTATTAAGAAGTGGAAGGTATATATGGTGGTTGAAGGAGAAAAAGGTGAATGTCCTTGCATGGCCCAGTCAGAGCCTGGACTTAAACCCCATTGAAAATCTGTGGAATGACTTGAAGACTGCAGTTCACAAACAGTCACCATCAAATGTATCTGAACTTGAGAAGTTCTGCAAAAGAGAGAGGGCAAATATTGCAAAGTCTAGATGTGGAAAGTTACTAGAGACATATCCCAACAGACTAAAGGCTATAATTAAAGCAAAAGTTGGTTCAACAAAATACTGACACAAAGGGGTGATTCTTTTTCCTACTCAGTGATTCTGGTTTTAATTTTTTTTCTGACATGTTGGTGTTATATCTTTCACTTGGATGTTATAAGTTGCACTGAGTAAATACAGCTGGATAAAACAAAAACTGTGCCCATCTTCATTTCAGGCTGCAAAGCAACAAAATATGATTGTTAAAGGAGGGTGCTTATTTTCTATGCCCACTGTATGGATGATAGTGATGTAATGCTAGTAGTGATTACCTTTCCTAGGATTTAATGTTTACAGATATCGAAACAGTCAGAAACCATTGTTCGGAATAAAACGTGATGATGTAACATTGTTTGAGTGGCTAAGTGTTCCCGAACAAACCCAGAGGGAATTCAGTCTAACTATACCTCTGATCTCCCATTTTCCTCATGCGTGCTTTAGTGGATTTTGAGATTGAGCACTGATTGTCTCCTCACAGCATTGCTCGCTGCGGTGATCCCGCGGTGCCTTGTTACAAGACACAAAAACAATTGATTCGCAAAGCACTCGATTCTCCATTTAGATAGAATGAAAGTGCAAGACGTCTATGTATGTGTGTGTGAAGTTCAGGAAGTTTTCGCTGAGCACAGATTTTGCATGTCAGTTTTAGAGTTGTCTGCTAAGAGTCTAGTGTTGTGGGCAGGATTCGGCTGACTGCTGTCAGATTCTCCACCTGTCAGGTGATTGAGTGTTTTTGTGTGTTTGAGTGATGCCTTCCGGCTAAATAGTGAAACCCTGCTTCTCCAGAGGACAAGGCTTGCCGCAACACCGGTTACGTCACTTGCCCACCGCGGCACTGACCCCCACCATCGTTTTGATTTTTTTATAGTAATAAAAATCATGTAGTTCAGTAAAAGAACAGATACTACAATTAAAAACTGAATGCCGAACGACAATCGCATCACACAGATCAGATTTCATTTATCCAGTTCGGCGAGTGAGTCGAGCTGACTGATAAGAAGAGAGGGGTGAGACAGACAAGACGATGGCGGATGATTTAGTTTCGAAACGAAATGCAAAAGCGCCTGTTTGGCAGTATTTTGTATCTTGAAAAGCCTGTTGACTTGCATTAAAATGTTCTGTGTTAAAGTTGGTCTAAATCTATTTTCTAAATCCATGTCATTTATCTTATTGTGAATGATTCGTCCATGGATGCGTTTTAATTTTTAAAATCAAATGACATTACTGGATACTGGATCTTCCAATGACGGACTCTCTGGTGACTTATGCCGGATGTTGGAAACCAAAAACAATGGAGACCACTGACTTCACTGAATAGACCAAAAAAAAAGTTTTTCCATTCCAAGTGTGTTCCATTGAAAAAAGTCATACAGGTTTAAAACGACATAAGGGGGCAAGTAAATGATGACAGTATTTTCATTTTTTAATTGCCCATTTACAAAAATTATAGCATCTCATCTGATGCATCAGTTTTAACTCTCCTTCAGATGTTTAAACTAAACAACTTGTGGATGTTTCT